ATGCCTGCTCTTCCAATGTTGAGCGACGTAGTAGTGGCACCAGCAGCATTATCAGCTTGATTTCCAGGCACGGAGTGTCTTGGAGAAAACGAAGTGCTTGGAATTGTAGTCGGAGTGGGCGAATTGATTGAAACATCACACTCAACAGTGGCACTAGTAATAGTTAGAGAGGCAGAAAGAGCGACAAGAAATGACGACGACGTTTGAACACCTTGCACCATTCCGGCAATGCGTCTCTTATCGGCTATTGATTCTTCAATGTATCCTTCTGCTACCCCTGAAGATCGCCACCCACCCAATATTGTAGCCGAAGCTCTGCGAAGAGCATGACCGGTGTAATTCTCATAATTTTGGAGTTTCAATAACTTTGCGATCACTTTGGACATATTGCTAATTGTATTGTGTCCCATATTTTGCCGTGTTGGCACCCTATTTCGGAAGCCAATAAATAATCTTTGTAAATCTGGTGTAGGCCTTTTCCTCAAGTACCATTCTTACTGGTAGATATTTTTATTATAATTATATCGCTTCGAACATCCACATCACTCGTCAACATTTTGCAGAGTTCATCAATTCTACAGGCGCCTGCAATCCCAATGACAAGAATTACCTGTAGAGTATTGAAGAAAAAAGTCTTAAAGCCATACAACCGTGAAGGAAAATCAACAAATTGTTCTGAGTATACTTTCTCAATAGCAGAAAATGTCTACTTAATTATTTTCTGTCACTTCCCTAAAATCCCGGTCCGATACGTTAATTGACAATTACCGTTATAATCTTGGGGATTACTATAAAAATAAGCTCTATTTAATGGAAAAAGAGGGAATTCCCGAGCGGCTTTTGCCTAACCCTGGAACAATTTGTTTATAACGCCATTTTGCCCGTTCTACTTTGTTAGTTGTAAATGGCTACTTAATTTCAACTTTTTGAAATTTTTCTTTATCGATACGTTTCTTTGGATCACTTAGAACCTATATACGATATTTAGGCCGAGTATGTATCCGATTTACCAAAATAACGTTAAAACGTTATATTATATAAATAACATTTGTAGATAACGTGCCGTATTACGCAAATTAATATATCTTATAGTACGTATCCGTGAAACAGACGTTATGTTATCACTACTGTTAAAATTAAACATGTTATATCATAGTGATTTAATTGTAATGAAATGAGACAGGACACTTACCCTTATTTACGAGTTTGCGCTCTACGTTGTATTTGTTTCATGTTTCATAACCTACAAGACCTCTTTTAGTTATATGTGATTTTACTGTTTTTGTCTATTGAGTTGGGTTTATAATAATTCTGCTATATTATTATTAAATATGTCAACAGAAAAGCACCTTCCAAAAACAACCAAGATGCAATATGAGTATTTACTTGATTACGTAATAAGAAACAAAATACTACCTACATATTTACGGCAAAACGAAGCCGCAGCCGTCAGAATTAAAACTTATTAATGCTTTTTGACAACAGTTTGCTACTGAAGTTATTTTATTGCACGAGTTTGGGGAAAAACCACATATCTCTTTAACAAATGTTCGGTAACAGCACTGGTTACCTCTGCAATGCAGTTACTAACTGATTTTTAATAGACCTTAATTAAAATAAAATTATCACCAACATAAGTCTGGTAACTATAATGTGTTAAAAATAATATTGTTGCAAAAACCTAGAAGCGGGAAAAAATAAAATTAAAAGAAGTAGTAATTTTACTTTTAGCTTTGTACTTGTATGTCGCTGAGGAGCTGCAAAAACTGGTCTTAATTCCTCAATAATTTGCCATATTGACTCTTTCCTTTGTCTGAAAATAATTTTCTAAATTTCTGGTCAAGCAAATCGAATGGATTACTTACAAGGAAACTACCCCAACCCGAACACTGTGATTTCCAAGATTTTTATATATGTTATAGAACATAAAAAATTAAAAGACACAGACAAGTATTTTTTTATCGGCGGAAAAACATATTTAGGGGGTGAAATAAACCCTCCAAAACAGTTTTATCTGAATATCTGGGGTCTAATCAATATTTCGGAATGAAACAAAATGGAAATTACTTCTTATAATAAAACAGATGTTTCTCAAGTGATTTCGGGTTTGGGGGTTGCTACTCTTATTTTTTATTTCAGAAAAACTATATTTTTCAAAAAATTTTTATAGGTATATAAAAAATTCATATTTGCTCAAAAAAATTTAAAAACACGATTTATGTAAACAAATTGTTGACCTGTTTCGGAGTTTTCGCTAAAATCTCTTTTTAGAGGGTGAACAACCCTCTAGTGCCAAAAATATCTGTACGATTAAAACATTGTAAAATAAAAAGTTTTTACGTTTTCTCTAAACATTACGAATAATTTACTATTGGTTTAAACCGGATTTAAACGGATGCAAACTACCCCTGGTGTTCAGCCCATTAGTGTCACTTCTTTCGAGTTACTTTTCTGATATTATCTTTCTGCATACCCTTCCCTAGCGTAAAGTACAATAAAATGTCTACTCATAATTTTCTACGTTCAAAGTCTAATTCGACTGGAGTATTATAAAATATTGTTACTTGAAATAGGTTTTTCCGTTTGAGTTTCGCAATTACTTATTTCATATTTGACCAGTAGAAGTCAATACGTTGTATACAATGACGTTAAAGGACCCCGCAATAATCTTATGGAAATTGGGTTTCTGTCAAATTGTCTGAATTTTTGATATGTTGTAGATTTTGTCATCCTGAACAAAAGTCTCCATGGGCACAAAGTGCCAAAATGAACATTTTGGCAGCTACGGAGCTGCCAAAGCTCCCCTGACCCGTTGCAAAACTATTCATTTTCAATACTATTTACAGATGTCAAAAGCATATTTTAATTATTCTAATATATAGGGTAATGTTTTTGAGGTCACTGGATTCAACCCTCATGTCAGATTGGACAAATTGACCGTTGACAGCTGTCAATACACTGTCAACGAAGAATAGAAAAGTAAATATTCTCTTTTCACATTGAGAGTTTGGGCTTTTGAGGGAGCTGAATTCAATTCTCATGCCAGATTGGCAAAATTGACAGTTGACAGCTGTCAATTGACTGTCAACGAGGAATATAAAAGTAAATATCCTCTTTTCAAATTGAGAGTTTGGGCTTTTGAGGGAGCTGAATTCAATTCTAATCTCAGATTGGAAAAATTGACAGTTGACAGCTGTCAATTCACTGTCAACGAAGAATAGAGAAGTAAATATTCTCTGTTGACATTGAGAGTTTGGGTTCTTGAGGTCGCTGAATTCAATTCTCATGCCAGATTGGAAAAATTGACAGTTGACAGCTGTCAATTTTGCCAATCTGGCATGAGAATTGAATTCAGCTCCCTCAAAAGCCCAAACTCTCAATGTGAAAAGAGAATATTTACTTTTCTATTCTTCGTTGACAGTGTATTGACAGCTGTCAACGGTCAATTTGTCCAATCTGACATGAGGGTTGAATCCAGTGACCTCAAAAACATTACCCTATATATTAGAATAATTAAAATATGCTTTTGACATCTGTAAATAGTATTGAAAATGAATAGTTTTGCAACGGGTCAGGGGAGCTTTGGCAGCTCCGTAGCTGCCAAAATGTTCATTTTGGCACTTTGTGCTCATGGAGACTTTTGTTCAGGATGACAAAATCTACAACATATCAAAAATTCAGACAATTTGACAGAAACCCAATTTCCATAAGAATATTGCGGGGTCCTTTATTGAATTTCTAGCATCTTCCAATGTACATCAAGATTCTGCTCTGATACCCTTATTATTTATTATGTACCTATATAAACTGCGTAACTGATGTTTGTTTTATACTAATGGTTGATTAAAGCAATCCAATTGCTTCAAATATCCAAATGATAGATATACGACTTTATTTGACTACGTTTTTTACTACAACACACAACAAAACACACACAAAATTGTAAACCATTAAATATATTAATTAAAAGATAAATTAAGGCAAATGCAAATAATTAACATTTTAAATATCATCATAATGAACGCCGCAATTACTTTTCACTTATTTTTTTTTGTCTCTAAAATCTCCTATAAAAGTGTTAGCAAAGGTATTAACATCAATTTTTAAAACGAGGCTGATAGTGCTCCAGAAATTTGCGATCATTCTGATTACATTCTTTTGTATTCTAAATATTTGTATAGCAGACAACGAATTTCCTCAGACAGTAACCCCATCACACAGCTGATGTGAGTGAAATAATGACAAATATATTTTTAAGAGTATTCCGATTAAAACTATACATTAATTTGTATATGAATATATGAATAAAACCATAGTTTTTCCTCAAAAATTATCAAACCCAACAAGTCAACTACAGAACAAGTTGCAATATTGCAAAAATTATACGTTGAATTTTATCTAAACTTAATTTAAGATTATTATTTCCTATTTTTTAAATGCAAAAAAAACATTAAAACTAACGTTAAATATCTAGGAGTACATTGCTTTGGCCTGCCTTGGAAACTCGGTGTATGTTTGTAGCATTGCAAATACAATATTTCATGAGGTATGTCAGCTACTGTATCTCTTAGTATTATTCGAGCGAATATACTAATTTATATATTTATTTTAAACACGTGCATAACATCAGTACCTAGTTATGTAATTTCAAAATAGTATTACTAACATTAAATAAAAATACGGATTAAAACGATAAATTGATAATGAATAACTATTTAAATAGCTCCATACTACATAGTGCATGTCTACAATTAAAAACAATCACTAGGCTCCGCAAGGAAGGTGCATGAATGCAACAAATTGTTAACCTCATTAAATCTAGCCAAGTGCTTCTCGTTTTACTACTCTGCCACTTTAAAACAGCCACACATGAATGGAAGAAAGCCTACTTGAGAGTTAATTTAACGTAATGGGTAAATGGTTGAGAGTTCAATCTGGGGTCTCCGAGGTGGCAAGCATTTGTTTCAGTCAGCCTTAAGCCATCAGAGAGCACTGGTAGACGTCTTTCACTGTCTGTGTGTTCTTGATGACTGGCCGTTGGTTGTTGGTTAGTGATTACTGATTACTCCTACTCTTCAGCAACTGACTAGATTCCACGGATATCGTTCCGTGAAAATTATGACTCAGTCGAGTCGATTGTTGGAATACCTAACATCTACCTCCAATTTACCTCTACAATCGCTGTTCAGTAGTAAAGCAAACGCGACCACGTGAATTCTTTATTTGAATGCTGTAAATAACATAGTAAAAGCTAACGCCATTTCCGTTTACTATTTACTATTGTGGGTAGTGTTTTCCAGGGTGCCGGACTAAAAAATGAATAATGTGTACAGCCAGAGTGATATCTATTCGACTAGAGGTGACATGTGCTTCGTAAGTATTTATAATGTTTACGTTTTTTTACGAATAAATTTAAGTACCGTTAAGAAGGAAACGGATATAGACAGAAATAAATTATAATGTGGTAAATTTGGATGAACAAATGTCCCCCTTTACCTGTTTTTGGGTACCTACTTCCTAAAACAGTTCATTCATTTTTTTAATGTAATTATTTTTAATAGCATCTAAGTGAGTCACTAATTTTCCCACACAATATTAATAATTGCATATCTGTACAAAACTTTAACAATTTACATTGAATGGGAATTATTTTGAATGTATTTTATAAGCTATCTTCTTCACGATAGTAGATGAAATCACACATAAGAATTACATATCCCGCATGTTTTCTAAATTATATGTACGTAACGTATAATTTACAATGGAACGAAGATGACTCATATTTTTTTTGTATAATAATGAACAATGATGTTACTGATCAGACACGGATTTGAAATTTCTTGAAAATAACCATTGTCACGTGTTACTCACTATAGCGCATTTAACACTTTGTTTATTACAAAATTTAAATTACATATTTTTCTGGAAAACTGCATTCACTGGCATTTCGGAAATAAAATAAAAATAAAATCTCAGTAAAATTATAATTACTAATCAAAAAGATTTTTTATTTAATTAAAATGTTTTATTAACCTAATGGCTCTACTCATAAAAAATAAAAAACTGGAAAAATTTCTCTCGCGCCTTGATAAAATAGAATCTATAGTAAAAAATATGTTTCATTCAAAACAATCTCGGGAGATATCGGTCCGTCACTTTCTAAAAGCAATCTGGCATCGACTGAAAGTAAAAGGCTACAGTTACTTTTTACAAATCTGTAAGTAGTTGTGTGAAAAACACTTGAATTTGGCAAAAATATGAGTAATGTTCCGGGACTTGTAATTTGAAGTTTGAAATCTTGAATCATAAAGCTTATTGTGTCTTGTGCACGTGTTTTATAAAAATATCTAGATATTACATTTTTTTAAATACTCGTAAAAGCCTACTTTTTATAAATCTGTTATTCCAATGTGGCGTCAGAAGCTAATACCATGCTTAAAATATACCGAAACAGCACATGTTTCTAATATCTGGTAGTCCCACATAACCGTCAACCTGTTGAGGCATCAATCGGTGTTGATATTTATTACCTATTTAAAATAACCATTCAATGTTATAAACCATAATATGTTATAAACTATCAATAAGATCATTCAAGGACTTTATTTTGTAAAATTAGTTTTGCTTAAATACAGATACTTCATATTAAGAAAGTAGATAATTATTAACGTTTACACTCTAACACAATTTGCTAAATTTCTTTGTTTTCATTCATAAAACTCTGGTGAAACTAACTAAAATAACCGTCATATTTGACTTTCTTCATAAATCAATTAAATAAATCTTTTCTGTTATCATGCAGTTGAAAAATTAATTATTAATATGAGACCACATAACTAAGCCTAGCGCGAGGGATTATTTGTTCAAAATTCGTTATTATTTATTCAAATATTTCCAATTAAGTAAAAAGAAATTATAAATGCCGTTACATTAAAAATTAATACAAATACATTGACAATTATTTATGTATCTTGAGTTCCATTCTTTAGCACTAATAAATTTTTAAATGCTATTTTATTATTTCAATAAAGGGTGTCTCAACATTTAGGCAAAAAGTAATTTTTAATTGAAAATTGTAAATTTTTTTATTGATTCATAATTATAATAGTATATCGGGTAAATGGCCTAAACGATTTTGCTGACACATTCACTTTTTTGTCGAAATTTTCCTTGACTGTTTTGCATAAATGCGGTTGAATTTTGTTGATACAGCGCTCAATTTTCTCCTTCAAGGCGTGGCGTGGGTGGTCGTGCGCTTGTTGGAATAAACCTTAGACTTCATAAAACCTCAAAGAAAAAATCCATTGACGTTAAAACGCATAATCTAGACGGTCAACTCTGATCACCAAAACGTGAAATTACATGACCAGGAAATGAATTGAAGTAGTAATTGAATTGTTTCTAGAGCTGTATAGCATATGGCACCGTCTTGTTGATACCACATATCGTTTACATTCATATCTTGCAATTTAGGTACAAAAAAACTGGATTATTATGTCGCGGTAGCGAGCACCATTGCCTGACCAACCGCATTTTCGAAGAAAAGTGGTCCGTCGATGCTTCCAGCTCAAAATCCGCACCAAACAGTGACACGTTGTGGATGCATTTGTTTCTCAAAAATCACTCGTGGATTTTCTGAACTCCAAATGCGACAATTTCGTCTATTAACGAAGCCACATGGAAATGAGCTCTTGAGTCAACTGAACTTTGTAAGCATGAAGATACAAATCTTTCGTGAGAATACGCTGTAGAAAGCTTCTCGAAATATCCAATTCATGACCACGGTGCCAATGTTCCTGAACTCTTAGAAACACTCTCACGAACTGCTTCGATGTTTTGTGTTGAACGACTTGGGTGTTTAAGATCATAATTTGATCCAGTCTCCCTAATTTTTCAATTAGTCTCTTCTTAATTGATGAAATTAAATCACTTTTCCGACCCTATTTTGTACGAAAATTGTAAACTGCACCTGCCAAATCTTCATTATTTTTAAAATATTGCTGAACAATGAAAATGCGTTGTGATTTCGTGTAACGCCCCGTTTTTATTAACCCTGAACTGTCAGCTGTCACGCTGTCTTTTTTTTTCGTTGGCAACGGTACCGCACAAAGGTACAAAATAGAACACTTGCATGAAGTTTGGATTCTGTTTTTACATAGGTGTCTATTGAATGCAATTTTAAACTCGAATTAAAACTATAAATGATGTCTGCTTCCTTGGGACAGCAGAATAAATGGTCTTGGGTTCACTCACCAAATTGTCGGAGTACCATGAGATGAGACCAATTCCAGGTTTTAGTTCATTAATATATTTTTGTGCATATAGGACTCCAATAATCATAATAATTTCTATGTTGTTAACTTTCATTAATTGATAGAGTCTTTGCCTTTATCGTTTCTACGGTACTAACGTTCTAATTATGTCCATAAATAGTGATTCTAAGTCAAACTGAAACTATTTGTATCCAAGTATTGTGATATACCTAATCATTTAGTCAAATGCATGAGGTAATGTGTGGAAATTATACAAATAAATTAGTTAGTTTGTAATATTATATTTTATTTGGATCATCTTCCTGAATAACTGTTAGTAGTTTTTAAGTAAAATTTGCTGCAGAATCAAAATAAAATACGTGTGGTCTCAACCTCCGCCATGTCGGAACACCTTTTAAGGCCCCTTTTTAATTCAGGGAAGCTATACTATTAAAATATGGCCTATTGCATTATGGACTGTATACATATACAAAGCCTTCATAAATGTTTACAAGTCACGTGCGCGCCAAACGCCAAACTTAGGCAACCCAACATTGCACGATTGGAGTACTAATTGCCTAAATCTTGGCGTCACCAATATTAATAATTCGTTTACAATGATCAATGACAAACCGTTACGTCTACGCTCAAGATAATGCGATCGCTGATTGGTTGAATACTATCTCATGAAAAATTACACCAATCAGAACCGTTGAAACAGAACGTTGTGTAACATTGATCTTATTATTTTAATACTTTTTAATTTTACCGAAATTTAATGGCCAACATAAAGGAAATAAAATTAGTGTTCCAAACAAAATTACTGGTCATGTGGTTTGTAATCATTTATGAAGGCTCTGTATGTTTTTCTCAAATATGACACCAAATTGTAACAGGAAAATATGTTAACCTTATCTCTTTAGAAGTCACTTACGTTCACATAATATCTGACATGCCTACCTAAGTCTAATGTTAATTACTGATAGTTAAACAAGTAAACGGTAAATAAAGATAACGTAATCAGATGTATCTGCTCTACATAAAGGTTGTAAAGTGAGGCAGAGATGGACTGGCAGAGCTGATAAGCGAAAAAAATTAGTTGAATAATATATTTTTCCTACCTATAACAGGGTGAGTCATTAATAATGGTACACAGCTTAATGGCATATTGTTAACGTCAAAATATAGCGATTGAGCCAAACATGCCTTAATCAAATATTGCCTCCTTTTCGTTCTACAGGGTGTAAAAAATATTTTCCTTTTTTATCTATATTTTAAGTATGTATGGACCGATTGCTTTGAAAGTTTGTAGTTTTACGTTTTTTGAGGAGGCAAATACGAATATGCAAACAGTGTTGGGGTCACGTCCAGAGGGCGCAAGTTATACTGTTCTATCAATGTAAAAATCTGTCTAACTTTTTGTACTTTACAATTTTGTTTTAACTACAAATTGTTGAACTACATTCAATTCTAAATAAAAAAGGTGTACTAGTTACAAATCGATAAACTAAACCGTTTTCAAGTTACAGACGTTTTAACTTTTTGAGATTCGGCGGGAATTAAATTAGAAAATTAGCAGGTCCTAAGATACCAAGCCTGAATTAAGAATTAAGACAAACATTACAGCAATTATAGATTTTATTATGCATATCTTAACAAATTATTAACTAGCAGCAACTTCAATGCACTTTCTTAGCCTTTTTAAGATATGCTCTTCTCTAAAAAATAACGACAAGAAAAAAACTACTTCTTAATCAAATTGAGTAGGAAACAATATGGTATTGTAGTGATAGCTGTCAATTTATTATGTCCATGCCTACTACTTTGGAAAAAATAATTTTCTAATTTAATTCCCATCGAATCTCAAAAATTTAAAATGTCTGTATCTCTAAAACAGTTGAGTTTATCGATTTGTAACAAATACACNTTTTGACGTTAACTATATGCCATTAAGCTGTGTACCATTATTAAAGACTAACCCTGTATGTGAGAGTTACCTAATAATTCCTCACGACTTAGTTTCAGATGTGAAATATATACTATTTTAAAACTAAAATGTTATGAAAATAAAAAACACTAGGTAACTAACTAAACTTGCTTGAACTTTATTGTCAAATAATT